ATTTGTTGAGTCTACTTTGCACATATGTTAGAGATAGCTTTTGAAATAGTCGTGACTAGACAGGAACTGAGAGCTATTGAAGTTAACCTCTCCGAAATTCTTTGCTACCTAGTTTTTCAGTTTTACAATGAGCCTTGGAATCCATCGCCAATGATTATCTAAGACCCACTGTTGTTTAACAAAAACCATGTACTTCAAACAATCAAGTAATGATAACGTCTTCATAACATCATCATAAGTTGATACATTTTTGCTATAAAAAGATACATGTACCTCAGCTCTGGCTGCACAATTAATATCTGCATACAAATTTTTAAGTCTTTGTCGGGTGCCCTGTTTTAAGACAATTTCATTGTTTCTCTAAAGTCATCGGTCACTGATAACCACTTCGAACTCCCTGGAGAAAGCTAATCTTCTATTCATCTTATCAAAGATCTTAAGGCATGGAGAATTCAGACTTCATCTAGAATCTTGGTGTCTTCTGAAGATTACATAAATAAGGAAGCCTTAGTGCGGCAGTGGTGCACTGGCACTCGTAGTCCTTTTAACCGTAAATGTTAAAAATAACTTCATACTCTTTTGAAAAGCAAGTTATATAAAACTGTGACTTAAACAAAAATTATTAACACAATGCATATTTATATCTCAAGTCCTAATTGTGAAAGGCTTATAAATTGGCAAGAAATTAAAAAATACGTTTTCAAGCGAATACTTTTTGTTAAAAATTTATTTATTTTTTTTCTGAAAGCAAATCTCGTACCGGTTCACATAAAGTTTATTTCACATCTGAATTTTTCTCATATGATACCCGAACTTCAGGTAAAAATTAAAAATTTTAATTTGCTTCTCTTTGGTTGACAACTTCCATTGAATAATTCTTCCCACGGTGCGTATGAGTGTCGTTTTTGCTGTTTAATGTCGACTATTTAGAGTAGAAAAAGTATTCAAGATTCTGAGCTGTTGAATACTTGAAATAAATTTTTAAAAATGTTTTTATTTAGCTTGAACGGAAATGTGTGTACCAGAACCAGGAGAACATTTAATAACGTCAGCAATATATCAACAGTTACTCTTTGTGCGTAACAAACAAAACATTAAACCTTGTCGTCATGAATGCATGATATGTCAAAACACTGCCTTTATGGCAAGCGTTCACTCCATTTTTTTAATAAAAATACATATTTTATATTTTATACCGGAAGTGGAAGACTGTATAATGTGAGGTATTTTTTGCTGTAGATAATAAAAATATTTCAAAATTTCAAAACAAAGTTTGTTGACAATTTTTCTTTTTTCATATAATAATTTTAAGCGTATGTATTTTGTTTTTTTTTTATTTAAAATATTTACTTAAGTATTTAGATACTTTTATCTATAATTTTAATACTGAGTGCGGAAGAAAATGAAAGTTTATATACAAAACACAATTTTATTCACATTTGTCACTTTATATTTTAATCCCAGATGAGAAGGATGCCAACTGTAAACATTTATTCAACATATAGCTTTTAATAAAGATATGGAAGTGAAATTTCTTTTATTTAAAGGGAATTTTTTTAATCCCCACACTTTTATAAACTCATTCCGATAAATTTAAAAGTAAAGCATATATAACTAACATAATAAACTTCAATTAATTTTATACTTCAATAAATAAAAATATTAAGCAACTATAGAACACAAATTAATTAGATTATTTTGAGCTAAAAGTAATATGAAACCAATTTACTTTCACGTATAGCAGAGATTGTATCTAAGCAACGTAAGAAATATCTAAAGCAACATCCTCTTACTGTACGTGATAGCTGAGTTCTACACGTCTAAACATTTCCTTCACTCTGATTAAAATCAATAGTTGAGGTGTGGCATATACAATGATGCTATTTGTAAATTTTATTCCTAAGAGTTTATATGGTTACATCAAGTCTGTTTTATTTTATATAATTACAATACTTCTCAGTTTGTGGATTAGAACTATTTGGCACCATTTCGACTTTAATTATAGTTTGAGAACACATAAATAAAATATGTAATTCAACATTAGAAACTGTAGCAAAAAGTTGAAGCACATAAGTTTAACATATTCTTATCATGGTATATTCCAGCCATGTTCTATCTTAAGTTTTGATTTATAACCTATAATCCAATTTAAATTTTATTATTTTCAGTTTTTTTTCTTTTTTTTTTGCGGCAAGGAGGAGTGGAATGCCTACGCACTGACTACAATCCGGCAGCCCGGAAAGTAAGTGTCCGACTCTCATGGACTAAACCAATTCCCCCTCATTCCTACAGACCTTGTCCTACCCTGGGACTACGTTAGTATTACTTCGAGGTAGGGTCTCTATTAGTCATTTAAGACTTCCCTCGGTGTGACCTGCGTCCAGGCCCCGCAACTACTGCAGGTGTTACTGCAGGTTATCCTTCATCTGTGTGTAATACATCTGTTTTACTCCAGCTGTCTTCTGTCAAGGTCTACTTTTTTCAATCTTAGGATCTTTTCAGCAAACATTTTTACGCGATCCCAGTTTGTTCTATTTTCGATCATTTTTTCCGTTACCATCCTGGGAGAGACGGTAGCAACTTGCGCTGCTAGTGCTTCTCGTTTAATTTTCAGTTTAGCTTGTTATAATTTTTTAGATATAAGAGTTTTGCACGATTTTTTGCTATCAGTACGAAGTGACTAGCAAAGGTATACTAGGTGGATTAAAAAATACCTGACTCCACAACAGGTGGCAACGCCAGAACAAAATCAATTATATTTTGTATACTTTACAAGTCTTTAACGACAGCTGTGGAAGTTTCGACTTCATCAGATGATCCAATTTAAATTTTGTGACTATTTAAACTATAAGTTCTTAATATATGTGAATATGTTTTAAAAGTGTAATGTTCTAATTTGATTGAAAACCATTCAATTGAACACAACTGAATCCTTGTTTGATAAAATTTTATAAAATAAAATGATTCATTTTGATGAAGATATGTTAATAATGACATGTCGTCATCCATAATATTCCCTGTTGATAACAAAATAAATAATTTGACATAACGATGACAAATGGTCTGTAAAAATTTTAAAAAGGTTAATAATTATACCCAACTATTGTACGTTCTCAGTCATATATAAATTATACTTGATTCAATTTTTTATTTGCGCAATTTTTGTTTATAATAATTAATCACTATTATCTTTAAATCATTAATGAAATCATCAATGTCAACACTTTTAGTTAATTTTGTTTTTTTTTACATTTATTGTAAAATTCATCGTTATTAAAAATTGCTAATAAATGATATATCACTACAACAATTACAATTGTATTTAATGATTCATTATAAATTTATGCAATAATTAAAAAATATGTCGTTTTATGTTCTATATTCAGATATAACATAATTATATACCTACGCATAATTTTTATGATATTGAATAACTTTCCTTCTTTATGAAAAAGTATCTTTTGTTTATTAGAAATAAATTACACAAATTATTTAATATTTTTATTAATTGCCTCGGTTTTGATAGAAAAATATTATGGTTTTATAATGAAATTGTTTAAATTTAAAATTAAAAATATATTAGAAGTATTTACGATCTCTCGTAACAAACTCGGTACCCGAATAACAGTGCAAAACGATATTAAAAAACATTTCAAGTACCCATTTAATGAGCTTTTTAGTTAAGATCGTGAATACTTTTATGGTGCTATGTCAAATTTAATAATCATTTATTAAAATTTTAATAAATTCATATTTTATATAATTCAAATATATCCACCTCAAAAACGAAGTCCCTAACAATCTCGAGACAGCCAACAGTCGCCAGATCACTCGGTCGACCGACGAATATGGCGCGAATGTTAAACGTCTGACTCTACAGAACCATAATAATTTGATATGTCATAATTTTGCTTAAATATATCCAACTTAATTGTTGTAACAAATTTAATCCTATAATAAAGAATAAGAAGAAAAAGAAAATATTAGTTTAATGGTATGATGTTTTATTAATACCATTACATTCATGTCCCATCTTTGTGAATGAAATTACACATTTCAAACTTATGGGTAACATAATATACTAATACGAATTATGGCACACCATACACCAATTAATTTTGCCTAAAAGATCAATTTTTCAGATTAATGACGAATTTTGTTTCTTATTTTTTTCAAGTCTCACACTGTGAGCCTTGAACCCACTAAAACCACCTCTTAGAAATGAATGGAGAAGATTTCCATAGCAATCTGAAAACTTCTTTCCAGTAATCAGGGGAGCGAGATGAGAACAGATAGGTTTAATATCTAGTGGACTACGTTCATCTAAGCCAGAAAGCATGAGCGTGAATCAGAGCTATCCAAAGCACAGCCCGTGGCTAATGTTTGTGTGACCCACGACTTCTTTTTAATCTACTACAATTATACAAATTTTCTTTTAATGTACTGGTAAAACTACATTATTTTATTACAACGTAAGAATTAAATGTACAAAATCTATTCTCAGAATGAAAAAATATATTTGCTGATATATTTTATTCAATATACACATTTACTTATTGTATTAACAGTACGTTATCGGGGCTCTGCTTGATAAAGAATTACTCTATATTTACTTTAGCTTCGTGGATGCTTTTTAAAACTAGTACATCAATTGCGGTTAGTAGTTTCTCAACCCATATACGTTATGGCAAAGTGTTCTTTGCTATATTTTCTTCAATTAGTTATCGATTTGTTTTGCAAGTCTTACTTTAGTAATTGCTACCACTAACGTAATATATATCATTAGTGATTGATATTTTACAATACTTTACTTGAGTTTCATTCGCCAGGAAGTGTGCATTAAAAGATCTATTGGAAACCACATAAGGTAAGTAAGTATGCATTAAAATATCTAAGGGAAAATGGGTTAATTATATATAATATATAAAATTTTAATGTAGTAATATTATTTGATTTTGAACACTAATGCATTGCGTATTCAATAAAATTATATAAAAAAATAATGTGTTAATAGTAAACAAATTAGTAAAATGTAACAATAGAAGAATTTGCGGAGCGTCTTTTTGTACAGTGCCGAGCGGATAATTACGACTTTGGAACAGGAAAGTTGTAAGTGTAGGATTAAAGTTCAAAGAATACAAATGTGTTCTAAATTTATGAGTATTGGTTCGATGATTGAAGAAGAATTCAATGAGGCTTTTAAAGTATTATAATCGGTACAAACTTAAAAAATTTTAAAACCTACAAAAAGAATTAAGAAAATTCAATATATTTTCATATATGCATTTGAAGCATTATAGCTATCTCCCTCTTGTAAATGTCTTATACATATTGTGCGAATAGAAAAGAAAGAGAGAAACAGAGAAGAGATATAGTTTTTTTTTTTATTTTTTTCTATTCCTATTTTTTAACCAAAATTTTTTTTATTAAAAAAAATAATTAATTGGAATAGACTTTAAAAGTTTTGTTTTATTTTTTATTAAAACAATATATCGTTTAAAAAAAACGTTGGTGCTTTTGTAAGAATGGCTTTCATGTACTATCTATTAACTTCCAATTATCCTAATTATTAAAGAAACTTTATTTATGCGTCGATTTAAAAGTTTTTTATATAAACCTTTAATAATTTTATTATTGGTATGGAATATGGCACAGCGCCGTCGGGTCTATTTTGCCCTTTCTGGGTTTAGAGTATGTCTTCAAACCCTGTTGAGAAGTATAGAATCTACTTTACAAAGTTTAATTGCATCTTCCGTTAGGGTATAGATTTCCAGAAATCTATTGCGTATGTCCATTAGCGAAAGGCATTCTAACAACTCATGGGTAACTTTTCCTTTATTCACAAAATCTATAGTTTGCTTACGTGCATACATCCAGTCTCGTAAGGTAGTATTTCAGTTTGCAGTTTAGATTCTGTTTAGATACCTGTGGTGATTCTAAGTTTTTCTTTTGTCTATACAATTCTGGTACCTCTTAAAAGATACTATTGTGGAGTAGTACATTATATTACTAATACCAACATCATACCCATTAAAACCTTGCACAAAAAAAGTATTATTATATTATCTGTTTTATTTGGTTTTTATTATAAACTATTAAATATTTTTCAACTATTTAGTTAAATTTAAAAACTTTAAACTGTATTTCTTACAGCAGCATTACTGTGTTTATAAAAACTATTTACGATGACTGATCCAATGCAAGTATTACAATGTGCTTTGGAGTATGAACACTCTGGTGAACCTGAGGCATCTATTCCTCTTTATCAAGAAGCAATCCGTTTATTTAGTGCAGAAATGGAAAAACAACCTACTTTGGCCCGGCAAGAGTTATACTTTAATTTCATACTTAAATACATTGATAGAATTGAACTGATAAAGAAAAACCTTAGCGTAAAGACTAAAAAGAATAAACCACAAGAAGTAAACACTATTGATGAGAACGCATCGGATATATATAACATAATTCGTGCCCCATTAGACCTTACAATACCGTTCAATGAAGGTGAAGTAGAAGAAGATGATGAAGAAAATTCTTCATGTATTACATATTCTCCTGAATCGGCAAATAGCGATAGGACTCTTAGTGGTTCTGACTTCAATGAATTAGATTTTTTGGATTAAAACTTCTCCTTAATTTATTTTCAAGCAAAAGATAAAAAAAATATGTACTTACCATATAATAAAAATAATAAATTATAAAATTCGTTTTCATCAATAATATTTGCTTGTATTTTTTTTTACTGTTTCACGGTTGCAATGGCTTCTTGATTTGACGGAAAGTGCTTTCCACGAAAAAATTGTTTGAAGTTTCTAAAGAGGTAAAAGTTAGATGGAGCCAGTTCTGAAGAATAAGGTGGGTGTTCAAGAAATTCGTACTTTAATTCGTATAATTTCACTACCGTCAAAACACATATGTGAACCACTACATTGTCTTGAAGAGAAATGAATTTTATCACCCGTATATCGCCAGGTTTTTTTTCAATTATTATTTTATCTAACTGATCTAAAAGGTTGCAATAATATTCAGAATTTATTATAGTCAATCAGTAAAACTCCTTTTGATTCCAAGAAAATAATGTCATAACCTTTTTTGTCGATCTTTCTGATTTCACCTATTTTGGAGCTGAATAACCAGCTTCAGTCCACTGTAAAGATTCTTATTTCAGTTTAAGATCATTATGGTAGACCTGGATCTCATCCGTAGTTAAAAAACGACGAATAAAATTGGCTTTATGCTGCTCATAATGCTGCAGGTTACGCTGAAAATTTTCTTTTTGATTCAGTTTTTATTGAATTGTCAACGAATGCGGCACTAAATTTCCGAATACTTTCTTTATACGTAATTCGTCTTTTAAAATATAGAACACTCGTTCGTCTGAAATACCTATCGTGTCAGCAATTTTGCTCTTAGATAACTTTAATCTCTACGAACAATGTCGTAGATTTTCTCAACGATTTGTGGTATTGTTGCACTTTTTAGACGACCACGACGGAGTTCATCTTTAAGGCTTGTGCGCCCTCGTTTAAACTCTTAAATCCATGGATGCACAGTTGGAAATGAAGGAGCAGATTGTTTTAATACTTTCACTATTTTTGTATGTGTTTCTGTTGCTGATAAACTTTTTAAAGCAAAGAACTTTATCACTGCACGATATTCGGTCTCTTCCATTATGATAAAGTCACCGACACGAGACGTCAGCTTCAAATACCTTTTAAAAATTGGGCTGACTTGGACAGATCGAAATAAATATCTGAGTGTGTTCAAATGGAAAAAGAAATATCAATCAACCAATTAAAATTAAAAAAAATGGATTTATTTTTAACTTTTAAGGATACTAAAGCATTGTATATACACATCTGCTTATTATTCAAAAATTATATATAATATACTTAACAAAACCATACTTTATTCATTAGTACATAGAAATATAGTACTTATATTAATTATGTTAATATGAAACTCCAGCAATTTGAAAATAAAGTTTGAAATTCATATAAGGTCTTTAACAATCGAGTATGTTTTGAATTTATCAAAAATTTTGTTAAAAAAATAAATAATTTTATACATTAATAAAGTTTTTCAAATAAAATTTAAAACATCATTTTTCCGCAATCGTTATTTCATTAAAATTCCACCTTCAAAATAATGTTAAGGAATATAATTATTAAGGAATAACTCCATAATGAATGATCCGATGAAGGTACTAAAATTGGCTGTTGAGCTGGAATACAGAGGGGAGTGTGAAGCAGCCATAGATGCTTATGAAGCTGCGATTTTGTTAATAGTTAGAGAAATGGAAAAACAATCCTCAAAAACTCTTCGTGATTTATATTATACATATGCAGTGAAGTATATAGATAGAGTTGAACAAATGAAGAATATTGCTCGTATGAAATATAAACGTAATTTAGTTTCTAAGAATAATTTTGCTGCACAAAATTTCGTATATAAGGTCGTTAATGGATGTGAAGAAGTGAACGGAAGTATTTTTCAAAATAAAAATACTTCTAAAGTTGCTTTTAATACTTCTTTAGCTACACATTCGATTATGAATCCAAGTAAAAAAAATTCTAAGGCAGATATTGAAAATACTGCCACTGGTGGAACTTTATATTCCGCTGAAGTCCTTAATGATTGTATTCCAAAAGAAAAAATTCAAAGTGAAAAGTTATCCAGCGAGCTAAATGGAGTTGATAAATTAACATATAGAAAGTCTTTCATTGAAAGTGGTTTAGACTGGTTAGACACACCAAATAGAACACCTGACGATACAAAATTAGACGAATATTCAGTTGGAAATTTAAGTGGTTTTTCCACGGATGGTATGATTTTTGACAATCAATCAGTTAAAACAATTCCAAGTGCAATATATTTGAGAAGAATGAACTCAGCTTCTTCATCAAAAAATAACATAACCGAACACCCAACCTCGGAACAATGTTCAAGCGTAAGTTCCTTGATACCAGAGAGTATTACTTCATTGGAAACTAATACTTCTTCAATAAGTATTGATTAAATTCCAGAAAACCACGAAATCTCAAATTGTAAAGGAACACCTGCAGTACGTTTATAATAAATATAATACATTATATATTTGGATATTTTTTTTGTACAATAAATAATTGAAATAGATTCGACAATATAAATTTAATATAAATTTTGTTACCATATATGTGTAATATTAAAAAAAGCAAAATAAAACAAAACTCACCAATATTTGCTACTAAATAATGAAACAATACAATAAATATATATAAAACAAAAACAATAAAATAATGTCCATAAAAGAATTTGTTGGAATAAAGCCATTCACCTTACTATGAAGTGCTCCGTATTGAGTTGAAAGTATTGACCTAATAGATATCAATTTAAATAAGTATTGAAATAACTATTTTATTTACTAGAAAATATTTTCAAAATAATGGAGTTGTGTGAAAAATCTTCATAAACGATAAATATTTATTTAAAACTCTTTATAAGTATAAACAGCGATTTCCTTAAATGTGACATATAAAAGACTATGTGATTTAAGTAATGTTAAAAAGCATTAATTATTCATCTTTTATTCACTTTTTCTTTTTTTTTAGTAAAACTAATGTACAATTAAATACATTTTTATAATTTTCTACTTCTCATCGAACAATTGACTTAAACACTATTAATCACCAACTTTAATGGACCAATAGTAATAACTACAATGACGTACAAGATAGTCTTGAATAGATAGATACTTTGTGGGAAAATCAACTGAAGTTTAATGTTTCATATCCAATTAGTTGTAAATGGACGATAAGTGCTACTTGAATTGTGCTCCATCATCCGAAAACACTATTAGTTTGGGAGTGTTAGACAGAGAATTGTGAATGTATGGCAATACATTCACAAAAGCTTTGTCATAAGGCAAATTGGCACTTTAAGAACATTTTTAGAAATCGTTTTATCAATTCATTGTTTAAGAATTATAGTTATATTTTTCATAAGGAAGATAGAAAATAAATATTTAAATACAAAATGGAACAAATATTTTATGTATCAAATAAAAAACGAAAAACAAACAAGGTTCTAGAACAGTTCCTAATTAAATAACCTAATATATAAAGTTTATATAGTTATATATACATATTTGAAAAAAACTTTAAATACCCAGAATGTATTACATCCCCTTATTTTTATCATATATGTTTATACACAATTAAACCTACATCTTTATTAATATTTAATAATTTAAAAATTTTATGTAGAAAATGTAGAAAAAAAGTTATTTGCAAAAACTTTGAAAATTAGAATTTTATTAATGTTAAAAAAAAAAACTTTTATTTAAATCACAAAGTTTATCTAAAATGGTAAAGGTCAGCGCATATTACCCTTTACCCGAAAATTATTTAATCGCGAAGTCAAAATTAATTGACCGTGAAATGCGATAACTTCTAAAAGGTCAAATTTTCTTAATTTACATAAAATAAAGTTTTTATTCAAATTTCTTCAAAAACTTGTGCGTTTTGTGACTGTTTATCAGGTCTAAATTGCCCATTAAATTTATTTAATGTCGCTAATTAGATTCTCTTTAAACTTAGTTAAACGCAGCCTAGTAAAAAGTTCTACAAAAGATATAAGGATAATCAAAATAACATTACCAACTTTAAAAATTATTAGTTTATCTTAGAAAATAAAAAATTTCCCAACTAATATTATTCATTTTTATCTTGACAAAAAATTTTTGCAAACGCCTAAATGTAGTCAGTATTTGTTCTTCTACAATTCGAAATTTAGGCAATTTATGGCAAAGCTTAACTAGAAAAAAATCAGGACTAATATATAAACTAATAACGTATTTGTTACATAAAATTAAGAGTATACCGCAATAATTAAATTAATCAAATTTAGAGACTTTTAGCTATGAAAAATTACAATTTAGCATTTAAATTAGCACTTGGTTTAGCACAAACGAAAAATTCGTCAACTGTTTTACGTTTGTGATGTCGTTCGCTTTCCTGTGGTTTAATCATTACAAGCGAAAAAGCGGTTACAGCAAACGACCGAATGACCAAAGTTTGGTTGTTGTAGTTGTTGTGAAATTACTTTTTGATTCGAAGCAAGTGAATCATTTTTGATTCAATGAATGCTCACAGCAAAATGTTATTCCATAAAAGTGCACTAAAAATCTAGAGTAAATGAAGAAAACCCACCCACTTATATGAGTACTTGAGTGACTTATTAGCTAAAGTATTTAATGAAGATTTCTAACATTTTCAAACTTCTTAGGAACCCTGATTTCTACTTTAATGCATTAAAAATATTAAAAGGAATATAACTTTTGATTTCAGTGCAAACTCATTAGTAATTTTTAAAATACGTAGCAAACGAACATACTACCATTTCAATCCACAATACTAGAGATGAACAAAGTTTCACAATTCAGAACTGAATGTTAGTTTAAAAACTAGTTAAAAGAAACTATTTAATATAAGTAGAAATTAGACACAGCTGTGGTTAGCTACTATTTTCGCTACTACTCATTTCCTAAACTAATGAATTAATACATAAAATATATACTTAAGTAAGTTTTTATAGTAAGACTCTTGCATCGGTTGCAACAATTCCCTTCTATTTGTTAAACAAACATTCGAATTATTTATATTATCTTGGAGAAACTATAAACTAAAAC